AGCCTCAGTCCAAATCTTTATATTTCCAATACATAGGTGTCGGTAACAAACGGGGGAGGCGAGCAATACAGCATTTTCAATGCTTATACGATGTATATATCTTTCCAAAATAGATGGGGGGCTTAGCCCCCCCCCCCCCCCCCCTGGCCCTTCGCCCGGTCTCGATGTCTATGCTATACTCAAAACATTCATATAATTATGTATTTACCTAATTGGTATGACGTTGAAAACGTTGAATGACAGATGAAAACTAGAATTTTTTAAGTACAGTAAAACATATGAGAGAGAAAGAATTTTCATAGTTTTGAACAATCAAATTGCCCCCTTTTTATTATGATAAATGCTAAGTTGCTTAAAGCTGTCCACTGTTAGTGCCCCCTTTACACCTTTACATCTATTTATCAAAGACTAGAATTTAAAAAAAAAACGAATTAATGATCTTAAACAATCGTCACTCTTTTTTCAAGACCCTTTTCCCTTTTATTTTATCAAAACCTCAAATATTTAAACGTCAATATCCCAGGTCCTGAAGTGACTTTATCATAAAAAAGTTATCCAACCAGGATCTGTTATTTATCACACCGATTATTTTCTAGGAATATTGATCAATCTTTACATCTTTTTTTTTTTGGTAGATATTAACGCACTTTGAAATTTCTTTTTAATTTTTTCAAAGTGCATTAGCTTGGTCCCAAATTCAACGCACTTTGAAAATTTTTTTCAAAGTGCGTAATTTTTCAAAGTGCGTTGTAACAGTGCATCTTCTATTTTATTTGTTGTTCTGACACCTTTTTGGGTCTCCCAGTGCAAGACATGGACTTTGCAATTATAACCATTTGGGAGGGGTATCATTTAGTTAAACTCATTGCTCACAGTACCTCTAGTTAGGTCACCTGAGTCACTCAGGTGACCTATTGCTATCCGTTTTCGTCCGTCGTCGTGCGTCATCCGTCGTGTGTTAACATTTAAACATTTTCAGCTTCTTCTCTGAAACCCCTGAAACAATTTCAACCAAATTTTGTATACAGCATCTATGGGTGAAGGGGAACAAAAATTGAGAATTTCATGGTCCCTGCCCCCCTGGGGCCTGAGGGGTGGGGCCAAAACCACTAAAATTATTGCAATCTTTAAAAATCTTCTTCTTTACTCCTGGACATCAAGCAGGCAAACTGTTATCATGAATGTAATGTCTATTAAGTCCTCTACCAAAATTGTGAAATTCATGGCCCCAGGGTCAGGGGTTCTAGTGCTAGGGCGGGGCTATATAGATTATATAGTGAAAATGCATTATTTCTTTGAAAATCTTCTTCATTGCTCCTGGATATCAAATAAACTAATTATGTACATAGTTATAATGAACAAGAGTGCCTCTTCCAAAATTGTGAATTTTATGGCCCCAGGGTCAGGGGTTGTGGTGTTAGGGCGGGGCTCTATTGATGATATAGTGAAAATGCATTAATTCTTTGAAAATCTTCTTCTCTGCTTATGGGTATTAAATAAACTAACTAAGTACATAGTTATGATGAACAAGGGTGCTTCTTTCAAAATTATGAATTTTATGGCCCTAGGGTCAGGGGTTCTTGTGTTAGGGTGGGGCTCTACTGATTGTAAAGTGAAAATACATTAATTCTTTGAAAATCTTCTCCTCTGCCCCTGGGTATTAAATAAACTAACTAAGTACATAGTTATGATTAGTAAGAGTGCCTCTTCCAAAATTGTGAATTTTATGGCCCCAGGGTCAGGGGTTGTGATGTTAGGGCGGAGCTCTATTGATTATATGGTGAAAATGCAATAATTCTTTGAAAATCTCCTCTGCTTTTGGGTATCAAATAAACTTACTAAGTACATAGTTATGATTAGTAAGAGTGCCTCTTCCAAAATTGCGAATTTTATGGCCCCAGGGTCAGGGGTTGTGGTGTTAGGGCGGGGCTATATTTATGATATAGTGAAAATGCATTAATTCTTTGAAAATCTTCTTCTCTGCTCCTGGGTATTAAATAAACTAATTAAGTACATAGTTATGATGAGCAAGAGTGCCTCTTTCAAAATTGTGAATTTCATGGCCCCTGTTTCAGAGGTTTTGCCATTTGGTGTAAAGGGGGGGGGGGTCCTTTGATTATATAGTAAAAATACATTAATTCTTTGAAAATCTTTTCCTTTGGTCCTGGGTATTATGCTAATGATCCAAGTATATATATATATTTATGATGAAGAAAGGTGCATCTAGTAAAATGATTAATTTCATGCCCCCTGGGTCATAGGTATCGGAAGGGGGGGGGGTGCGTACATACATATATATGTAGTCTGAAAATAAATTATTGCTTTGAAATCTGATCTTTGGTATTTTAAATTCAACCATTTATGATGAAATAAAATTTATGATTAAATTTCCAAAATTTTGTAATATGTGGCTCCAGGGTCAGTGGTTCCTTTGGGGTGGGGTGCACAACTGGTTATAAAGTGGAAGTGCATTTTCTCTTTGTTACTCTGATCTACCTCTGGGTATTAAGTTAATAACATAAGCATGTCGAGTTTATAATTATGATAGGCAATGGTGCCTCTTTCAAAATTGTGAATTTCATGGCCTCTGGTTTAAAACACGAACCAAATTCAATTGTTGGAAAGTTGTTACATTATACTCAGCTGACCTATAAGGCCCATGGGCCTCTTGTTAAAATTTAGGGTGGGTAGTTAGGGTGTGGCCAAAATGAGAGATACGAGCTTTACATAGGAAAACAAGATTTATTGTTTGTTGTTTTATACATCCTGTTTGAGAATCTTTATCCACACCATACGCCAGTGAAGGGCTTCAAATTTAGACATTTACTCTGTACTCAGGAGAGCTCTAGAGAATGAGCTACCGTGTCGGTAGAAAACATACGGAATCATCTTTAAAATTCTTCTATGCAGGAACAACAAAGCCATGATTAGTAATATTGCTTTGGAAATATCATGAGTGGTGAATCTACATCTGTGAATAAATTTATGCTTAAATATAACAAATAACTGGACGCAATGTATTTTAGGATTTATTTTGGTTGTATATGTTGAGAATAGTAGTTTCTTAAATACCAAGACATTGTAAACTTTCTATGATGCTCAAATTTTACACCAAATTTTTTATCCACCCTTATTTATCTATTAAAGTTTTTGTCACTTTAAAGGATTTTTATCATGCATCATAATTATTTTGATATCACAAAGTTTAAATGCTATTAAAATCATCTATGAAAATTTTTTTGCTTAAAAATTAATATTTTGATTGTTTCAGCGATTCAAAGTTTGAATTCCTCAATATGCATATTTTGATCGTTGATGTTGAGCGCCATTGCTCTGACGTCATATTTGTCAATCCTGGTTAATGTTTTATTGGGCGTTCAGTAAAAGAAGTCGGTGTTTGACCGCGGGGTGAGATATTGAACCCATTGATGAGATATTGGATCAGTTTTGCTACATTATAATATTCATAATGATTGTATAAACGAGTTGTTATTCAAAAAAAAAAAAAATAATAAAAAGATGTTGTATCACCTGTCCTTAAGGGGGCCGACTATAGTTTCCATTGCGCAATCATAGTAAAATGAAGCGTATTTACTGTTTTAATGCAACTTTTTTCGCTTAAGGGGGCTCTCTACAACGTCACAACATGGCGTCCTTCCGTTGAAACGCCATTTTGGTCCCAAATGATCTGATTCAAATTCACTTAACACCGATAAATCACTGAGTATAACACTACATGCAATGTTGTGGATGGAATGTACATTGTATCACCTCAATTAATACAGTGTATTGCCCAACACGTATCCTTTCTTTAAAAATGAATTGTTTGTCAATTTATTCAATTTCTACTTATTTAATTATTAAATAATGTATTTACAAACTTATTAGAATAAGATTTTTAGGTGAGAAAAATGATAGTAAACTTTGAAGAGAAATTGAAAGCACTGGGCTTTTAAAAATATAGATAGGAGGGTTTTATCAAAATTAATAGAATATTTCAAAAATCAATTATACTTTATAGGTGTAGAGAGCCCCCTTAATTATTAAAATTAAACAAAATTAAGAAATTATAGGTATAAAAATGTAATTACAATATGAAATAACTGATTTTTTAACCGATTTTGCAATTGATAGGTAGATTGACGTCGTTGCAGTGTGTTTTTGACGCTATGATTATCTGTAGCTCTTAAAGAAAGGGGTAATAAAAATATTATTAAAGAGAAAGTAATAAACATACGCTCTTGAAATTTCAAAACATAGAAATTTGAGAATATCTCCAATATATTTATAATGTTTTTATGTGAATCCATTGTGTACATCATATTTTGTAATACTCTATAAAAATAGTAAAATTTGCTAATTTTTTGCATTTTGAGATGCCCCCTCTGGTAACAAGACGGTAGAATTTTGTGTTTCTTACATATATTGTATAAAATAGTATTACTCATCAAATATTACAGTTTGAACAAAATGTCTATAGTAGTATTTGTATAATTTGCTTTAAAGTGCTAAAAATTGGCATTTTCCTATATAATCCTATAGTAAATGTACCTGTATTTTGAGACGGTCCCTCAAAAATACCTGGAAGGTAGATTTCCCCCAAACTTTGCATATACACTGAAGTTAATGTTAGTTATATATATGGAATAAAAATGAAGAGTTTCGCTATTGTAGTTTTCACACAATAAAACTAGTCGGCCCCCTTAAATGCCTTTTCTATATGATAGTAAAATAATAAACATCAAAAACAGGATGTTTTTTGGTTGCAAATGTTGATAATGGTTTTGGATAGGTAAAACTTAAGGTGTTGGACAATTTTCTATACAGAACACTTCCTTTCAATCAATCGTGAATAAAAATTGTTCCTTAAATGATGTTCAAAGTAAAGTATTACAAAGAGATAAAAGAGTGAAAAAGATTTTATTAAAAATTATTTTTCATTAAAAACATTGTCATAAAAAAGATTGACCACACAGTAATGTAAGAAATAAAACAAGAAACAAAGGTGCATGTTTTTAATGAGAAAGAATTATAATGAAACATATCAAATTTTACACATTTTTAAAACGTTGAATGACAAAGGACAAGCATAGTTTTCACTAGTCACAGTTAAACTATTGAGATATAATGTATTGAGTAGAGTCCATCTAACTGGTGTATTAAAGGTTCCTGCAACGTAAATAGTCTACTTGTGAGGAAACATCAAGAGAGCATTGCGTTTGATGCTTGTATTTTTGTTGTAGTTTGTTATACTTGCCATCGATATACAGACTATGTCGAAGAATGGATTCTCATCTAAACACAAAAGGCATTTATTATGGGTCTTATTTTGGTATTATTCTTAAATTTCGCAACTCGAACTAAAATTTTTGAAAATGTTGAATTGAACATTGACTTGCATTTAGTTTACCTAAGTGCAATCGGAAGTTGAAATAGAAACATCATCAAGGGCTATATCACTCCTGTAGTCTACCCCCTTCACAGCCTCAAAGGTTATCTAAAGGTAGAGAAAAATATACCAAAACGTTCAGTTTAATACATAACTCAAACTCAAAATAGCGCTCTTGTGTATATTATCTTACATCCAAAAATATAAACGTGGATGAAATTTTCAGTACTAGAGCAGGTTTTAGCGTATCAAGGGGGGAATTAAGTTCGCGCACGTACTGATCACTAAGTGAATCAAAACAAATTACTATTTTAAGTGATTTAAAAGTAATATTAATTCTAGTAAAATATTAGTAATTCATAATTTGCCTTGTAGTATAATTTTTTTTACCTTGTAGTTTGCTGTTGTTCCAACATTAAGAAAGGCTTCCATCCATTGGTTTCCTTGATTTCCTGATTTAGTCCAGACCTGAGTATTATTTCGTAAAACGTTTAGTGTTCCCATTCCACTGCCATACATATGGTACCAGAATCTCAGACATCTGTTTTCACCTAATAATTAGATTTATCACACAAGTTTATCTTTCTTGTTGTATATAATGTTTAAAGACACATAAAAGTAATATCGTGAAATTTGCTCTTTTATGTCCTTTGGATAAATTTCATTCCTGAAATTTAAATGAATGTTACACTTTTTAGCAGATCTTGACTGATCTACATTTTTGAAAAAAAAAAAACACAACTAGCATCTGATTTTCACAAAATTAACACCGAGTGGAATTCTTTTTTTCAGTCATGGATGTCTTTGAAAAAGCCTTTCTCACTTTTCTTTGTAAATGTAGACTTACCGGCAAGGAAGGGAGATTCGTACTTAAATCTGTTCCCACTTGGTACAGGGGAAGACGTCTCTACGTATAAATAGTTGTTTCCATTTTTAGCACTAGAAGGCCCTGTACTATTTGACGGTGTTCCTCCCTGAAGGATTATAGTTTTCATAAGTATTGATACCAGTATATCAGCATTTTTTTGGATTTGTTTAATATGACTCTTTTTCTTGATTAATTTAAGAAGTCGACAAACAAAATAATATATTAAAAATCTATCAGTGTTAAAATTACCGAATTGATTTGCCAGTCATAAGTCTGAGCCTCAGAATTCTGAAGCGTGCAATCGTCATTTTCAAAATCACAGGATATAGCACTTGAAGCTGGAAAACGTAAAAATAAAATGTATTATATTTGGAACAACATATCGGTCAAGTGGTAACTAGTTCAGACTCATCTTGGTTTATTTGTATGTTAAAATTAATTACATTGTGCTATCTAAAAAAAATATTCACGTTCTTTTAAAAAGAACCTTCGAAACCTCTGATAATTCATTTAGCTGAACACTATCGTTTATTTAAGTTAGGGATTAAAAGTAAGAATTTGCACACCATTTTATTTCAAAGAAAATTTCTGAAAAGTTTCTTTTTTTTTTTTTTTGCCCCCAAAGTATTTTCACTGGCCTTTCATATCACAAAACCAATGCACAGCAGCATTTAAAAATTCCAGCTATGACCATATTTAGTGTCAATGCTGTAAATCAAGAACTAGTAATTTTGGTGCCGGGAATATTTGGCGACTTTGATATAAAAAAGAGTTGAATATATCGGCGCTTTCTATTCAGCAGCTATTTTAAAATTTTATTCTCTTTATACCGACTCTGTGAAAACATTACAGAAATGAATGCATATTATTTTTTGGCGAGTTTTATATTATTTATTCATATAGTTTTCTTTTTCTCCACGAATTAAAAAAAATCCAAGAAAGCGATGAAGACAAAAAGAAAATAATCACTAAAGAGACACAACAAACCTTTAAATACCAGGCAGGATGGAAGACCCTTTATCTAAACAATGGAAAAAATATTAATGTGTATGGGCAAATCAAATTGCCATTTACAAATCCATGCACAACTGTACCATCAATTGTATCACAGAGCCTCCCTGTGTAACCGCTATCACAGGAACAGTCATTACCAACGTCACTACAAGTTCCATAGACACAGGGCGCAGCCGCACAACCTACAAATATGAAGGTACAATCAGAGAATCGACGGTCTTGGAGTGAGTATACAATAGTCAACAATTCCTAGAAAGTTATTGTGAAGAAAAACCTGGTAAAGTTAATTATAGGAATTTCTGCGGACTTTTTAAGGTACTAGTATATCTTTACTCAGATGACTAAATATTCCACCGATAAGAATGAAAAACCACCTATTCCCACATTGTACAACTATGATTCTAAAGTTAAATTTCAATGACCTAATTTTCATGCTAGTAGTGGCTCTTTAAATAATGAAATATTATAACAATGGAACACTGTTGCTTCATATAAAGAAACGATAAGAGTTTGGGCCATAAACTTAATAATCATTACAATCATTACAGAATTTTTTTTTTTTAATTTTTTCCCCATTTTTAATCAAATATTAAAAAATCTGAATGATAAGAGCTCTAAATTATTTATAGTCCCAGGTTATTTTTGTTGCCCTGATTCTCATGGTAATAATATTTTATGGGGTCAATGATCAAATTATTGAGATATGTTGTCTGGAATGGTTTTTGTTCATATTTTTGAATTTCTTTATTTCATGGCATTCAATTATTTGAAATAATTTATGAGCTATAACACATATAATATTTGCAAAACGATGTTTAAAAATAATGTAACCTTTACATTGTAATTAATATTGCAAGAAAAAATATGTATTTCTTGATATTATATGAATTTTTTGCATATTTGTCATTCTCTTTTTGATTTCTACATTGTTTTCAATATGTTTTTAAATAAAAGTTCATCAAAATTATGATATAGGCCATTCAGATGATTACACATATCCAGGGATATATGACATATCACCCTGTGGTATCTTGTCCAAATGTCTGGTAAGGTTGCCTAAATTTTTGTGAGAAAACTTGTTTAAGTTCCTAGACTTTGATGACAAATTCTTTGCAAACATTATATATTTTTGAGGAACTAGACTTTAATCGGAAAAACATATTGTTTCTCGGTCGCCTTATTAAAGAAAATGCAATACATTGCGTTTGCGAACTCTATCGCGATCAGCAGAAAATACTGAAAGATGTTAGCTTGGGATTTGCTTCTGAAGTATCCCCCACATCTTATGTACATATAATGATGTAGCAGCATGTCATTACTAAGAGAACACAAAAGAGTTTCTCAAACGAAATGTATTTTCTGCATTTTCTTGTCCTGGACACTCCTGACACTACGGAGGCTTTGTGAATAAGGTCCCTGATTGAAACTCGAATGAAAATAATGGAGGCAAATAATTGTGACCAGACCTTACTCAAAAAACAAAACTTGCAAAAGAAGTTTTCTGAGAAAATTTGCGTTGAAGTAATTCCCCCCCGCCCCACCTCCACCCCCAAGGCATGTGTGATCTGATTAGTATTTAAGTAAAAAAATTCTATCAAACATCATCGAAACAGAACAAAATGCACACGCAATGTTGAAAAGTAACGTTGTACTTACCACAGGTACCACTTGATGTAGAGATATCATCTAGTGCAATGTCACTTCTATAATCTTTCCCCTTTACTGCCTCAAACGAAATCTATATATAATTGCAACATAATCAGTTGTTTCTCTCTATCTCTCTCTCTTTATATTAGCTTTACATATATACACACACACATTTACTAAGGGTTTTAATACTGAAGATTTTATTAAGGATAATACAGGGACTGGCCATAAATAAAGGGGGACTAACCACAAATAAAGAAAATTTGTAATTTTCCGCGCACCTTGTAATTTGTTGCTGTTCCAATGTCTACATAAGCCTCCATCCACTGGTTTCCTTGATTTCCTGATTTAGTCCAGACCGGGTTTCCATTCTGTAGCACGCTAAGTGTTCCCATTCCTATTCCATACATATGGTACCAGAATCTCAAACACCTGGATCCACCTGTACAATACGTTTATTAATCACCAAGTAATTAAATATCATATATTACTAAATTCACATGATATATGGCATAACAATTAATGTTTTGTTTTTTTGAAATTAAAAATAATACAATAAAAGAAGCTGCCAAAGGACATAATGGTCTGACACCCGAGTATAATAAAACCCAGTAAAAAAAACATAGAAACAACAGGTAGAAAACTAACAATTCCGTATACCCTATTGTATCAGATCTATATAACAAATTAACAAAGTCAATCGATAAAAATTACTAATATAAAAATACAAAGGAAAGTAAAAACATAAGCATCTGAAGCTAAAAACTTTATTCAATCACAATTTTGAGTAAAAATCAAGTAATTCGAAAAAAAAATTCTTCATTGTATTCATTAATTAAAAGTAATATTTTATACAAAATTTTTATTGAATTCGCCCACCCATTGATTTTAGAATATTTTGCTCTTATCAATGCCATCATCTGTGATCAGCCTATAAAATTGAACAGACATAGTGTAAATGACCCACTTAACTACAGGTCTTACATCCTTTAAATTAGCAATTTTAGATCAAGAGGGCTCGGTGGTAATTGTGGCCATTCTAGACTATATTGATCTCCTTTAAAAAGAACAGCTCCATATAAAGATATAATAAAATGACCAAATTTAAAACTAAAATGTATGAAGTTTTTCTTCAAATGATAGTTGACAGCTTAAGATATCATGTCTAAAAAAATAAGTTATATCTATAAATGGTTAATTTGTTGAACCCCAACTTCCTTAAAGAAAGTTACAAATTTTGGAAAATTGATTGCGTACTGGTATCATACTGTATTCTACTCAAGATGTTTAGATTGCAAATTTATCCACAATTCACATATTTATTCAATAATGTAGAATAAAAACTCCAGATTTAACATGAGTCTTTGTGTCATTTGGGAATAATTTTTACATTAATTTGTAGATAAAGAGTCAATTTTCAGTTAAGACCTGTACTGGGAGAGGGTCCTTTTACTAGACTTGCATGCAATGGATATTAGGCCCCTAAAGAGGTGCATTTTTTTCTCTTTATGTAAAAACCTACCATCATCGAACTGGTATTGGTAAAGAAATTTATTCCCTACGGGTACTGGGGAAGATGTTTCTGCATACAAATAATTAGATCCAACTTTGGCACCAGTGGGCCCTGTACTGCTTGAAGGCGTTGCTCCCTATATAGAAGATAACATATTTTATGTAAAAAAAAAACAACGTTTGTGCAGGTTTGTGCATCAATAGTATATATTTACATTTGCAAATGTTTTCCTTTATATAACACTAAAACAAGCGTTTTTATTTAAGGAATGAATTTAATAGCTACCCATTTTATACGGTATAAACTGGGTTGGGGCAGTTTACGCTTTATAAACCGCGAAGCGGTTTATAAAAAAGCGTAAACTGTTCCAACCCAGTTTATACCGTATAAAATGGGTAACTATTAAATTCATTGCTTATAATTTAATTTTCATTCATTTGATGTAAGGAAAAAAAGATGATTTTTCTAACAAAATGACTTCAATTTGTACAAAATTTGAATGTAACGTCAGGCGGATTGATACGTTTTCGACGCAAGTCATTGTGACGTAGGCAACCCATTTTATACGATATGAAGTAAATTTTTTATCCAATCAAATACAGCGTTACAATCAGAATTAAATTATAACTGTATAAATGCAGGTAAGGGGTCAAGAGGTCATAGATGTTCGTATGGATAAACGTTCGACGTAATTTCTCAGTGACGTCATAAAGGGTCGACGCGCGTTCAGTGGATTACATACATGCCGTTGGGTTTGAAAAATAATGCATTTCACACGTTAAAAGTCACAATCAGGCAAATTTATAGTATGAATAAGTCACAAATGTAAATATAAGTAATAAGGTATCATTTTCTGAGTGTTATTGGGATGTAAAACGGGTTGGCACATGATCAAATCTTCCATAAAGCCCTTCGGGCTTTATGGGATTTGATCACGTGACCAACCCGTTTTACATCCCAATAACACTCAAAAAACGATACCTTATTTCTTAAATAAAACATTACTTCTCAATGAAATACAACAGTATTCTAGAGTAAAAAAAAAAAACAATGTGTGTTACCGAAATGATACTCCAGTCGTAAGTTTGTGTTCGAGGATTCCGAAGTGGACAATCGTCATCTTCGAAGTCACAATTTATCTGGCCTACAAAGATATGATTGTATCAGGGTATGTATGATATATACATTATCTGGAAGTTTATAAACCAAGTAGAAAAATATTTATTTTTTTATTTTGAAGATTTTTCTTCCAAATTAATAAGGACATATAATATTTTTTGCCTGTGACATAAAAATTACATCTCATTTTTTATCATTACGGTTCTTTGTTAAACAACAGACCCATGGGTCACAAAGAGCTCACATATTTACTTTTCTTCCCTCTGTTCTTTAAAGCATTTAAGTGACCACAACTTAGAACTGGGGTGTCAAGATTTTAAGAACCTACAGTATATTAGAATGCTTGTACATTCATTATTTATCACAACCATGTTGACTCTTTAAAAATCGATTTAGGGCTTATCGTATCCTAGGAGTTAAAGAAATTAATGGAATCTACTTGACTATGCTGGCATATTGATAGAACTAATCATGTCCTCTTGCTCAACAAAGGACGGGTTTATACTTTTTTACTTATATATACCCATGTTAAACTTGTTGCCCCACCCTATCCCTGCTGTCATAATTTGCATGCTTATTTAACTTTACCCTAATCTTTGCACTGTTATACCTTGAAGCATATATTATACATACATATTCACATGTATTTCTTTGATCTCCAGTTTTGTGCCAAGTCTACCCTCCATAGCTTTGATTTATAAACGATTTAAAATCCACATATCTGGAAGCTGTCAGTTTCATTTTCCCAATGGTTCTTAAGATTTTTCATAGTTACTACATTTTTAAAACTTTTCTTGAGTTTCCTCCTTTTAATAGGTCATTGCCCTTTATCTGGATAATTTTAATATCTTTAATCCAGGGATACACTGCATTGGTTGAAATTGGTACAGTGGTTCTGGAGAAGAAGTTTGCGACATTGACGCCAACGACGAAGAAAACAACGTACAACGGACACATTTTGATCAGAAAAGCTCACGCCTTCGCTCGATAGGTGAGATAAGAAATGGAACAGGTATTCTTCTTCAATAATTCTTGAATGTTTATATAACACTTCTTTTTTTACATATGACACTTACTTGGAATACAAGTTCCCGTTGTTGTATAAATATCATCCAATGCTATATCACTAGAGTAGCTGGTTCCCTTGGTGGCCTCAAACGATATCTTGTTGAATATAATGAAAGTGTAACAGTAATAACCTCTCAAACAAGTGTAATGAGTCAAAATATAAATGTATGATGGACAGTTATATCTATCTTGATTTAAAATACCGTTTATATTGCTATTAATAAGATACCATACATTTCTCAAATGTTACAAAATTTATTTTTGAAGTTAAGAAAACAGGTTCCTTTCACATACAAGAGGCCCACGGGCCTTATAGGTCACCTGAGTATTGTGCAACAACTTTCAAACAATTAAATTTGGTTCGTGTCTTTAACCAGAGGCCATGAAATTCACAATTCACAATTTTGAAAGAGGCACCATTGCTTATCATAATTAAAGACTTAGCATGCTTACTCTATTTGTAATACGTAATATCCAGAGGAAGATCAGAGTAACATAAGAGAAAATGCACTTCCACTTTATAACCAGTTGTGCACCTCATCCCAAAGGAACCACTGAACCTGGGGCCACATATTTCAAAATTGTGCAAATTTTATCATAAAATGGTTGATTAATACCAAAGAGCAGATTTCAAAGCATTAATTTATTTTCAGACTTTGTAACCCCCCCCCCCCCATATCCAATTTGCTAAATGCATCTTTCTTCATCATAAATATATATTCTTGGATCATTGGCATAAAACCCAGGAGCAAAGGAAAGATTTTCAAAGAATAAATGCATTTTCACTATAAAACCAATAGAGCCCCGCCCTAGCACCAGAACCCCTGACCCTGGGGTCATAAAATTCACAATTTTGGAAGAGGCACTCTTGCTCATCATAACTATGTGCTTGGATAGTTTATTTAATACCCAGGAGCAGAGAAGAAGATTTTCAAAGAATTAATGCATTTTCACTATATAATCAATAGGGCCCCACCCTAACACCAGAACCCCTGACCCTGGGGCCACAAAATTCACAATTTTGGAAGAGGCACTCTTGCTCATCATATCTATGTACTTAGTTAGTTTATTTAATACCCAGAAGTAGAGAAGAAGATTTTCAAAGAATAAATGCATTTTCACTATATAACCAATAGAGCCCCGCACTAACACCAGAACCCCTGACCCTGGGGTCATAAAATTCACAATTTTGGTAGAAGCACTCTTTCTTATCATAACTATGTGCTTGCTTAGTTTATTTAATACCCAGGAGCAGAGAAGAAGATCTTCAAAGAAATAATGCATTTCACTATATAATCTATATAGTCCCGCCCTAGCACAAGAACCCCTTACCCTGGGGCCATGAATTTCACAATTTGGTAGAGGGCTCAATGCTCATTACATTCATGCCATCAGTTTGCCTGCTTGATGTCCAGGAGTAAAGAAGAAGATTTTTAAAGATTGCAATAATTTTAGTGGTTTTGGCCCCACCCCTCAGGCCCCAGGGAGGCGGGGACCAGGAAATTCACAATTTTTGTTCCCCTTCACCCATAGATGCTGTATACCAAATTTGGTTGAAATTGGTTCAGTGGTTTCAGAGAAGAAGCTGAAAATGTTCAATTGTTAACACACGACGCACGACGCACGACACACGACACACGACACACGACGACGGACGAAAACGGATAGCAATAGGTCACCTGAGTTACTCAGGTGACCTAAAAATCTCACCGTGCATCTTACTTTGTTTTATATTTCTACAAATATATATACTTTATAACTTGATGCTGTTCCTATGTTAACATCAGCTCTAATCCAATCCACTCCTTTATCTCCGGATCTAGTCCAGATTGGATTTCCATTCTGTAGAACTTTAAGTGTTCCCATAGTAGTACCGGACATATGATACCAGAAAGTCAAACATTTAGACCCGCCTAAACACATAAATATATATTAATCACAAAAGAACTGTAAAACCACTTAAAGGTATAAATAAAATAAAAAGGATTAAAAAAAGGTAAAAAACAAAAACAAAATGTGCAACAATTGACAGTTACTTATCGTAACATTATAAATCTTCTCATAAATGATAACCTAATTTAAGGAATTTTAGATATAAGTAAATAAATCTTTTGCAAATCGATTTCACAAGCCAGATTACCCAATCTTTTACAGTCTACAACTGATAAATGTTTATTAAATTTATCTGTGTCCTTATATTTCAAAAAATTTTCTAAAAACTTAAATTATGTCCATACTAGTTTTTCTATAAAGACTTACCAACAATAAATGGTGATTCAAAGTAAAATTTGTTTCCAGAGGGGACAGGAGAGGAAGTTTCCACATACAGATATCTAGTCCCTCCGTGAGCACTGAAGGGTCCAGTGGTCTTAGACGGTGTTCCTCCCTGAAAAGATGTAATCAGAGGTGATCTTAAATCTGTGGACATTTAACGAGATTTCTCAAAATATAAAAAATATGTATTGCCAAGTTACAAATTGCAGCTTACCGAGATAATTGTCCAGTCGTAAGTTTGTGACATAGGGTTACTAAGTTCACAATTCCCATCTTCAAAATCACAATTTATTTGATCTGGAAAAGTTTTTATACGCGAGATAATTTAATTTTTCTGCAACCAATTGCAAATGTCAAAAACTTGGATTGACAATAACGAATAATCTTAAGCAACATTGAATTTACATTATTTCATTCCACAAGATAAATTAAAGTCCAGACTTTTTGACAACATTGACAGCTGCTTTTTAATAAAAATAGAATTTGTAAATTTCTTACCATGTCATTGGTCATTTGCATTTTTTTTTTCTAAAGCATTCTGATTCTACCCAGAAGAACTCTGGAGTTGATATTAAAAAGATAAATGTTTGAGTTTCTGATTGACAATACATCTGTGGTGTTTGGTTTTGGAGACGATTAATGTGATGATTGATTGATTGAATTTTGTTTTACGTCCCGTTCGAGAATTTTTCACTTATATAGAGACATCACCATATACCGGTAAAAAGCTTCAAATTGATACCTTTAGTCGGCACTCAAGGACATTGAGCAGTGGGTGTTCTTCATCATGCTACTCCCGCCGTGACACAGGGCCTCAGCTTTTAAAGTCTCATACGAAAGACCCACAATGTTAACTTCAAACTGCCGAACACTTGGTGAAAGAACATTTGCTACCTACTTTTTCTCTACCTAGGTCAGTCATGCTCCTGATTCAAACATACGACCTTCCGATCACAGAGCGAGCACTCTAATGACTGAGCTACCGTGTCGGTATATTTATTATTAATCGCGATGACTTCAACTTTTCAATTGCCAATTTCTCTTACTTATGTAGAAATATTCCCTTATCACGTTCATATGGGCTTTATGTCTCTCAGTTAATTCGATTCTCAGTAACATGCTCTACGTACGAAGAATTTCTAAAACAAGGCAAGTGTTTGACAAACAAGTTGATGAAAAAAGAATATCACCCGAATCTCATTTAAAGTCATTATTTCGGAAAGGTCTATAGAGTGTCCTTGTCAGCAACAACAATTTATCATATAAATTTGTATGTGCCAAGCTCAGATATAAATTTGTAGTGGTGGTGTCTCAATATGAACGAAAAATTCTCGAAGGGTCGAGTAGACAAACAAAAAAAAATCGCTTTAGAGCAGTTCTTAGGCCTTATCGTATCCCAGGTTAAATCTTCTTACTGATTTCTCCTGGTTGACTGGTTGTGGTTGTTGATGTTGTCGTTGTTGTTGATTGTGTTGTTGATGGCGTCGTCGTTGTTGTTGATGGTGTCGTTGTCGTCGTCGTCGTTGTTGATGGCGTTGTCGTCGTCGTTGTTGTAGATGGCGTTGTCGTTGTCGTTGTTGTTGATGGCGTTGTCGTCGTCGTTGTTGTTGATGGCGTTGTCGTCGTCGTTGTTGTAGATGGCGTTGTCGTTGTCGTTGTTGTTGATGGCGTTGTCGTCGTCGTTGTTGTTGATGGCGTTGTCGTCGTCGTTGTTGTTGTTGTAGTAGTTGTTGTTGTAGGGGAACCTAGATAAAAATACGTCAATAATCTATAACAATCAATTAAACTTGATTTCAAAGAAACGGGAAAAAAACAGCATTGCAAAAATTGCATTATATTTTAAAAAGTAGTTTTTTTTATACAGCCTAATAAATGAAAATGGATTTGAACTTACCACATGCAGCGGAGGTCAAGGAAATGTCATCTAAAGCAATATCACTCATGTAATCACTCCCCCTTATTGCCTCAAAAATCACCTATTGCATTTATATAAACAAATCAATTTTAAGATGAAGATTAACTTTATGAGATAAATTATTATTGCCATAAAGGTGTATAAATTATTAAACATGCAAATATTATGCATTTTATCCAGCTACATATTATCGAATAACATTTAAAACTAAAATGAGCTCAGCTTAACTGATATGTCCGCTTTAAAGAGGTCTGCTTGAAGTAAGGTAGGTACATACGCTTGCAAGCTATTTCATGACACATTTTAGACAAAGAAGTTGATGAAACAAGAATATCAAGAGTCTCGTTTAATGTCATCATTTCGTAAGTTCTATGGTCAACCTTGTCAACAAATACAATCTACCAGTAAGTCAAATGATGACTGACTTTTTTCATACTAATTGTAAGGCCATTATTTACACACATGAATTGTCGACTGATTTTTCCTGTTATTTACCGATCATGACAAGGAGCACATGGCGGGTGTAACCAGTCGGCAGGGGATGTTCACTCCTCCATGACACCTGATTCAAAGTCTGATGTTTTATAGGTCCGTGTTTGCTCTGCTCCTGATTTGTATTGTTTAATGGACTTTATGTTGAGCTTGAATACTGTTCGTTATCTCCATATATTTCATCGATTGACAGAAAAACTAGTACATGTAATACAAGATACACGTGCTTTTTCTAATTTTGATTAGTTCAGCTAAAACAATTGTAAAATTATACATTTGTAAAATGACACATTGCAATTCTAATACTTGCAAATATACTTTGGCAGTTTATTGTTTAAACACAAATGGAATTAAAGTGAACTTTACTTTATAATTTGTTGATCCTTGTATGTTTAATTCAGCTTTAAGCCATTGATTCCCCTGATTTCCACTTTTGGTCCACACTGTAGTTGAATCCCGAAGCACATTTAAGGTTCCCATACCAGAACCATACATATGATACCAGAACACCAGACATCTTTGACCAGCTTTGTTTAAAAAATACACAAGCAAATTTTTCCTTAAAAAATCCCATTTTCATGCATGCTTTTTGTGCCTTTTGAAAAATATCTCCCTACGATATGTTCGCTTCTTGATTGGAAAATAATTATTTTATATCTTAATTTTTATATGACAATTGAAATAATTCAAGGTTAAAAATTAGGTTTTTCTTCAGATTTTACAGCCAAAAGTCCCAATTGACGGCATTAAATTAATCTTACTTTAACTACATATTTGCTTTTCTTTTTTACAAACTTTGTCCTTTTTTTTTTAAGATATTATGCCTGGTAATTTTAAGGTCCTAATATAAGTTCTATGTACATGTTCTTTAAATATAATCTTTGCAAAAAATATTAAAGCATGGATTTTTTTTGAATAATTATACATGTATTTAAGGTCTTTCCACCCTTACAATTCTAATTGTTCAAAGTATAAAAACTGCATTTATTTTCATTTTATATAGTTTAAATTTACCATTTATTGCAAAAAATTTATAGGTCGCCATATTATTTAAGATGGGAGACATAAATAACCAGATGTACATGTAAACATAAAAAAATCGTACATTTTTTGTAAATGATTTTATAAAAATTACGTAAAAACTGGTTCAAATGCATAAATCTGATGCTGAAGTTACTTGCTACTAATCAGATACTTTTGAATTGTGAACATCAGGGAAACTATTTTACATTAGAAGTGCAAATCAGAAAGTGCCTGAATGAAGATACCTGAGAGGGAGTTATTGCCCTTGTCAATATTTTTGAAGACTGAATAATCAATTAAATGAAGAATATAATAAAAAAATAAAAATAAAAAAAAATGAAGAAAATATACATTTTCAATTTCTTTATTTTAACAATATTTATTATTACACTTATGGAGAAGCATTTTTCCAAAAGATATTGTTCTATTAGGTATGAATTTAACTTAATAACAGTTTTTGCAAAAAACCTATGACATCATAACAGGATGAAAATACCTTAAATCATGAAAGCAAAATGCATCACCTGTCAGGAAAGGTGTTTCGTAATGAAAGGTAGTCCCAGTAGGTACAGGGTATGACATTTCTATATATAAATAGTTTGATCCGCTCCTGGCTCGAGAAGGACCGGTGCCTCCAGAAGGCGTAGATCCCTGTGTAATAAGACTTATTTACAGAGATGGGAAAGAATCCTTACAATACCGGTATACATGTGATTCCAGAACAAAGGTATTCTCCAGTTAAACAGATAGGGCTTTAGGGATAACGATTCCGCCAAAGCTTGTATTTAAATGCCCTCTTTAAACAAGACTGTAACCTCCATTTCTGATCAGTGAGAAAGTGAACAATCATGCGGCACTTTCAAAAAAGGTTTAAACTCTAGACCTTAAGGTTTAAATTAAATGTCCTGTACTTTTAATGGTATATTGTATACAGGGTTATTTTCGCCCTTTTACACTTGCTAACAATTTTGCCCCGTTTTAAATTCGCCCAGTCACAGTTCTGTATTAAAATTTATACTATGGTCTTTGAATTCGCCCCATTTAACATTCGCCCACTTGTCACAAGGGCGAAACTCAAACGGGGGCAAAATTTTCCCTGTATACAGTATTTATCCAACATCTTTCAATTTTATCATTTATAACTAGTATAATAAGAATTTTTTTCTTTATTTTATCTTATTCTTCTTTTTATTACCAGAGATATAGTTACCCAATGACTCACTTTCAAAGGGTGCTTCATGTGTTCTATAACTTGTCCAATTAACTATATCATACCGATTTTATAACCCAGTCGTAGGAGTCTGATTTTAAGTTGCTAAAGCCACAAACATCTCCTTCAAAGTCACAGACTGTATCCCCTGTCAAGTTAACAATGTTATCAATTTTAGATGAACCATTGAAAATAATTAAATCAAATCAAACATTATTTAGTTGATGTTTTTTACAAAAAACCTAAAATGGAGAAGTTTGCAGGCATCTTGAAAGAATATGTTCATTTATACTCTGAAAAAGTTTATTTCAATATATTTTGCTGATTTTGTGAAGTCATGACGACAAAATCTAAAAAAGAATGTCAAAGCTCTTTAATGAACAAAGGACAAAAATTGTTGTAAGATATCTAACCAACAAGTGTATCACAAAGCCGTCCAGTATATCCGGAAGCACATGCGCAGTTGAAATCACTGGATCCAACGTCAGTACATGCTCCAAAGACACACGGGGTAGATTTACAGCCTAAATATTGTAACAAAGATATCAATACATGTTCCAAAGACACCATTATAAGACATATACTTAGTTGAAGATTGGTTTGAACATATTTTTTAATGTTTAAAATATTATACAAATATTATGAACACAACTGCTAAAAACTTGGGGGTTCTCAGCAGTTTTATAGCCTAAATATTTTACAAATACATCAAAGCATGTTTCATATACACATCACTTGATTTTAACAAAAGGATACCTATAAAGTTGTTTCAAGAGAATGTTTACATCGTTGTTAACAAGTAAACACTAATTTATTCTATTATGTTTAACCTTCAGAAATTTTAGAACAAAAACTTGGAGGACATAACTATCAAAACTTTTGTCTGAAATTTCATCCATTGCTACCAATGTTATTGTGATTTGAATTAAAGACACTTCTACTCAAAGGTGGTTATAACAAACTACATTTAAGAAAGCCGAGAAAGTCGACCTTATCTTGAATTTAAATAACAATAAAAAAGATGAAGAAAACATTTACATCATCATTGTCACCATCATGCTATGGTTTTCATCCATGTGTTACATGGAATATTTTTAGGTTACCTGCACCGACAGAGGACACAGACAAAGTAAATCCCTTGCCCGCTTGGACATTAGAAGCAAAGGAGCTGTTAAATATTAGTAACATCATGGACGGGTTCCCGGAGTCTGACGTCACGTAGGTCTCATGTGAGAACTTTCCACAGCGTCTGGAACACACAGTTTAAATGTGAGAACAATTTCACAATTTTATTAAAACTGTAGACTGAGTGGAAGTAAAATGTGATCCTCTGCAGTTTCTTGTGGGGAAAGAATGATATATCAATCAACAGAGATTTACAGGAAATAAATGAACTCTGGGGAAACCCAAAATTTTAATTTTCAAATAATCTTAAACATGAATACATATCTATGATTTTTTTTACTTTGGTCCGCTCTGTCCAATCAGATTGTACTGGATCTCTAGCCAGTGAGCGCATGCGCCGTCATCAGTTGATAAATCCATTTCGTCTATCTTCATAGCTACATTCTTACCACTAGAAGACTGAATAGTGTGTGAAAAAATAATCATAAATAGAAGACTAAGAATGATTAGAAGAAAAGCTCAAGATATACCTTTTAGGATATTATACACATGTAATTAATCCATATAAAATATTTCAATTTTTGAATCGTATTTGCGATAAATTTATTTGATATTCAACGATATGACAAATGTAAAATATAGGTCTTTCTATGTTAAGCGTTCCTGTAAGCCTGTTTTTTTTTATATCCCTCATGAAAGAAAGTCCTGATATAATGTTTTAACGAAACCTTTGAATTCTGTAGATTCTAAAAAGGTTTGACTAAATTTGTCATTTATTTGAGACATTGACATGTAGACAACCAAGGCACATCTTTTTACTCACCTCTTCATTAACCAAACACATCTTTTACCTTTTATAACAAAACACGTCTTTTTACTCACCTTCGCTAACCTTCACTAATCAAACACGTCTTTTTACTCACCTTCACTTACCAAAAACGTCTTTTTACTCACCTTCACTAACCTTCACTAACCAAACACGTCTTTTTACTCACCTTTGTTAACCAAACACGTCTTTTTACTCACCTTTGCTAACCAAACACGTCCTTTTTGCTCACCTTCACTAACCTTCACTAATCAAACACGTCTTTTTACTCACCTTCACTAACCGAACACGTCTTTTTACTCACCTTTGCTAACCATCACTAACCGAACACATCTTTTTACTTACCTTTGCTAACCATCACTAACCGAACACATCTTTTTACTCACCTTCACTAACCGAACACGTCTTTTTACTCACCTTTGCTAACCAAACATGTCTTTTTACTCACCTTCACTAACCAAACACGTCTTTTTACTCACCTTTGCTAACCAAACACGTCTTTTTTGCTCACCTTCACTAACCTTCACTAATCAAACACTTCTTTTTACTCACCTTCGCTAACCAAACACGTCTTTTTACTCACCTTTACTAACCAAACACGTCTTTTTACTCACCTTAACTAACCTTCACTAATCAAACACATCTTTTTACTCACCTTCACTAACCTTCACTAATCAAACACGTCTTTTTACTCACCTTCACTAACCTTCACTAATCAAACACGTCTTTTTACTCACCTTTGTTAACTAAACACGTCTTTTTACTCACCTTCGCTAACCAAACACGTCTTTTTACCCACCTTCACTAACCTTCACTAATCAAACACGTCTTTTTACTCACCTTCGCTAACCAAATAGTCTTTTTAGCCACCTTCACTAACCAAACACATCTTTTTACTCACCTTCGCTAACCAAACACGTCTTTTTACTTACCTTTGCTAACCAAACATGTCTTTTTACTCACCTTCATTATCCAAACACAACTTTAAGCAACTTCCACTAACCAAACACATCTTTTAGTTATTTTTTACTAATCAAACACATCTTTTAGTTATTCTCACTCACCTTCACCAACCAAACACATCGTTTTCCGGTAGGATATGGTCCCCCAGTATTAAAATTAGGTGTAGTTATGGTCTTGGTTTCTCCGTCAGCTAAGGTTATTAAACCTGGACCACATTCTTCAAACAAAAAATTATTTTATTTTGGAGTTACCTCTGAGTTCGTACATAAAATTACGTTAAATAATGATTCATTGATTGTTTGTATGTATGTTGTTTTACGTCAATCAATAAGTAATATACCCACACCCCAGCCACTTGGATAGAGAGAGATAATATTACCTGGATCAGTGTCCACTGTCTGACACAGGTCTCCAGTGATACCATACGGACACAGACAGTCACAGGTGTGGATTACAAACCCTCCGTTCTGACACTGCTTCAAGGGATCATTACCACTCGGGCCCCGACAGGGTCCTAAGAAAGTCAAACAGTAGCATTTAATATAAATGACAAAAATTCGTGGATTGGACTTCGTTTGAACAGTTCACCAAAAGACAGTTGGAGATTTTGCACAATAATATGAGTTGGACTGTTGCATATGTTCAAGTAAATAAAAGGTGCAGGCATTTCTCAATTTAAAGCTTGTTTATTTCTCATCCTTAGTTCTGAATGTTCCAAAAATACAAACTTAAGTGAGATTATGTTTAAAGCCAGTGCAATATTCATTCATATTACAGATATATATATATATATAAACAAGAGGCCCACGGGCCTTATAGGTCACCTGAGTATTGTGTAACAACTTTCAAACAATTAAATTTGGTTCGTTTTAAACCAGAGGCCATGAAATTCACAATTCATAATTTTGAAAGAGGCACCATTGCTTATCATAATTATTAACTTAGCTATTTACTTAATACTGAGAGGTAGATCTGAGTAACAAAGAGAAAATGTACTTCCACTTTATACCCAGTTGTGCACCTCACCCAAAAGGAACCACTGACCCAGGGGCCACAAATTTCAAAATTTTGCAAATTTTATCATAAAATGCTTGATTAATACCAAAGAGCAGATTTCAAAGCATTAATTTATTTTCAGACTATGTAACCACCCCCCCCCTCTGACCCAGGGGGCATAAAAAAAACACATTGCTAGATGCACCTTTCTTCTTCATAAATATATATACTTGGATCATTGGCATAAAACCCAGAAGGAAAAGAAAATATTTTCAAAGAATTATTGTATTTTTACTATATAATCAATAGAGCCCCACCCTAACACCAGAACCCCTGACCCTGGGGCCATAAAATTTACAATTCTGGAAGAGGCACTCTTGCTCATCATAACTATGTACTTAGTTTATTTAATACCCAGAAGCACAGAAGAAGATTTTCAAAGAATAATGCTTTTTCACAGTATAATGAATAGAGCCCCACCCTAACACCAGAACCACTGACCCTGAGGCCATAAAATTCACAATTTTGGAAAAGGCACTCTTGCTTATCATAACTATGTGCTTAGTTAGTTTATTTAATACCCAGAAGCAGAGAAAAATATTTTCAAAGAATTAATGCATTTTCACTATATAATCTATAGAGCTCAACCCTAACACCAGAACCCCTGACCCTGGGGCCATAAAATTCACAAATCTGGAAGAGGCACTCTTGCTCATCATAACTACATGCTTAGTTAGTCTATTCAATACCCAGAAGCAGAAAAGAAGATTTTTAAAGATTAAATGCATTTTCACTATATAATCTATAGAGCCCCGCCCTAACACCAGAACCCCTGACCCTGGGGCCATAAAATTCACAAATCTGGAAGAGGCACTCTTGCTCATCATTACTATGTGCTTAGTTAGTTTATTTAATACTCAGAAGCTGAGAAGAAGATTTTCAAAGAAATAATGCATTTTCACTATATAATCAATAGAGCCCCGCCCTAACACCAGAACCCCTGACCCTGGGGTCATAAAATTCACAAATCTGGAAGAGGCACTCTGGCTCATCATTACTGTGTTCTTAGTTAGCTTATTTAATACCCAGTAGCAGAGAAGAAGATTTTCAAAGAAATAATGCATTTTCACTATATAATCTATATAGCCCCGCCCTAGCACTAGAACCCCTGACCCTGGGGCCATGAATTTCACAATTTTGGTAGAGGACTCAATGCTCATTACATCAGGCCAACAGTTTGCCTGCTTGATGTCCAGGAGTAAAGAAGAAGATTTTTAAAGAATGCACTAATTTTAGTGGTTTTGGCCCCACCCCTCAGGCCCCAGGGGGGCGGGGACCATGAAATTCACAATTTTTGTTCCCCTTTACCCATAACTGCTCTATACCAAATTTGGTTGAAATTGGTTCAGTGGTTTTAGAGAAGAAGCTGAAAATGTTCAAATGTTAACACACGACACACGACGCACGACGACGGACGAAAACGGATAGCAATAGGTCACCTGAGTTACTCAGGTGACCTAAAAAAAGCTTGATGAATGGGTAAATGAAATTGATACAAATTCTTACTGGTACAATCATATGCATCCGTGACATCCTGAATATCATAAAACATGAGTCCAGTGGCTGAATCAGCCAAAAACTCCAGCCGACGGTCATGGAACTTCATAACTGCCTTACCATTTATGGAAAATGACTGTGGAAAAAAACGCAACAAAAACTAAGGTTTCTATTTGTTTAAAGAAAATAAGCGCATAATTTCCCTAGGGATATTGAGAAAGTAAAAGAGGTCATCTTTAAATCGATGTTGGCTTGCAATCTCCCGACTCAAAGTAAGAAAATTAGGCCGGTAGGTAGGAGAGAATTTGTTCAGAAAATTTAACCATACATAATAACGATTCAGAGGGAAAAGTAGAAGAATAAATATCAATTCCTGGAAGTCGGAAACATTTTGAGTCGGTCTATCTTTAGCCAGTCGATCGGGAGAGGGCAAACACTTTTTATAAGAGGGTCTGAATCATAAACTGACCGTTAAACTGTATTGAAGCACAGACTGATAGTCATATGGATTATAATCGAAGGTGTTATATTTCTGCATATTGGTGTTGTTTTGACCGTCGTCGATATTTGACCAGACCATGGTGACATGATTATCACGATCATTTCTGGATTGTTCATGAAATTGTCCAATAGCATGCGCCATTTCATGGACGGTTGTTGATACCTTAAATATATAAAGCATTGAATAAATGAAGTAAATAACAATGCAGTATAAAACAATCGTAAAAGCATTACTGAGTATATTTTTAAACAATCACGATTATATTAACTGCTGTGAAATAGAAAAACTTAAGACGTATTGTGCTACAACATATTCAAAAAGTGTTGTACATGATGAAATCCGTCAATAACGAAAGTAAGCAAGCTTAAAAGTCCATTTAAAGAAAGCAAAACTGGCCTGGGGGCCATAAAAGTTAGACAAGCTCACTTTTGGTCTCAGTCTCATTTTTACCAAAGGAATATATAGTGGAAAAGTGAGATTTAGATCAAAAGTGAGCTCGTCTAAGTTTTATGGCCCCCAGGCCTGGAGCAAAGCAAGAGACAGTTCTCTAAAAATATAAGAATTGGGATCCAGTCTCATAGAGGAGTAGGCATCCCCTGTCTACGCTCAGATCCGCTGTGTGCTCCTTGTCATGACCGTGAAGCAGAAAAATCCGTGAACAAAGAAGTGTTTAGATAGTGACCTAACAATAAGTATTAAAATTGCCAGTCAGCGTTCGACTCAACAATGCCTAATTATGGTATTGTGATTATATTGAAGACATGGTAGTTACGTAGATCCATCAAAGGTTACAGTTTTATAAACGAAATTGACTGTAAACAGAAAATTGCTGTAGTCTGTTGCTTTTATAGAAAATGTACACAGTTACCATGAAAAATTTATTTCTGGACTTTTATGAAAGATTTTTATAATTTGAACTTGTTTGTATATTTCAATTGTTTGTGCTCCTTCATTAGCAAACCTGTTTTGTATTCCTATTATTCTACCCAAAAGCTTATTTCACGAGAAAATGAAACGCTCGCTATGGTGTTTTGCTTAACATTAAGAGAAATTGACAAAGTTCTATCAATCAGCAAAACTAACTTTCATTTATATGTCAACCTAGTTTTTTTGACTCGAAATAAAGGATACTACATATTTTGCCACATCTATATCATTACTGACTATAGAAGATAATAGCAAAGCAGGAAATAAACTCAATGACAAACGAGTTGGTTTTAGCTTTTACATCGTCTTTCCTCAATTCGTAGCAATTTTCCAGCATCACCTGCATATGGTGTTTCCCAGTGGATTCGATACCCAAGAGCTTGCTCTGAATACGGTTCAGTTTTAAATAAAAACTAGCTTCTGTTGAATAAGCTGATGTTACAATAGTTGTGATATAAGTTCTCGCAAATTGTATGATTGTTATCAAAGTCAACTTATTGATGGGTTGTATTTTGTCTGGAATGTTTTTTAACTATATATAAATTCTTTTATCAGTTTATAATGCCTCACCGAAACACAACCAGGAGACTGAAGACTGATTTCTTGTTTGCCTGATCCCACTCTTCCAACGTACGACCAACAACCACTACCAAAAAATAAAACACAATGTACACGGATTTTATTTGGCAGCAATTTACAAATATAAATGAAAACTGATTTTAAAACAAACAAACAAACTTTATTAGTATTTTTATGCCTCAGTCTTCTGAAGATTAAAAGCGATAAGCAAGGATGCATACATTTTATATCTGGTCCTAGGATCATGAAAGAGACTTGATTTAGGCGTTGATTAATTATTTAATTTATCAATAAATTTGTCAAGAACAACAGTTTTGGAAAACAATGTGGAGAAATATTTTGATTTAGGAGTGTTTGACTTCTATAACATTTAAGTACAACATAAATATTTCGACTTAAGCTTAAGATGCTTTATGATCCTGGGGCCTGGCATCTAGATTTTGAAAACACTATTACCTTTCAGAGAAGAACTCCACATAATTTGGATAGCTGGCCTGATTTGCTTCGGCAGACCCATAAGGAACCCATCTCAAACAGGTGTAGTCGGTAAACTGTTGGATTGCCTTGTTGATTGTGTCTACATTTCCCTGGACAGAGGCTAAAGCAAGAAATTTAAAGAAAGATGAGGTCTATTTAAGATGAGCCTGGAGTATATTTTAAATTGCTTATATTTTAATTTAACAATGCATACAACTCAGCTGTTTTGAGTACACTTGTATAAACTATATCAGTGCATTTAATTTTTGATTTCCTGATTTTCAAGTCCAAAGGTTAGTCCTAAAAAAAACGTACATAAGGAGCTGGCAATGGTGTACGGAATTATTTTGTCTGTCCAAAGTCGAGCATCTCTCCAAAAATTTCGTTTTCCCTTTCCATTCTGTGAAAATTCAAAACAGAACATGAACTAACTTGCATGTAAGTAGAGTGTTAACAGGTAAAAATTTAGTGTTTGCAATTGTGTATGTATGATTACGGAGGACGAATCTGTAATTGATAAATGTACATGTATCAAATTCTAGAGAGAACATCTGGACACCAATGGTTTGGGCAATCGTTATGGTAATGTTGTTTGCCTTCTTCTGACTTAAAGTAAAAGAAAATGGGTGGGTAGGTAGTTGAGATAATTATCAGAAAATAAAAGCATGCATTTTTAGCGATCTATTTTTGCAAAAACACAACCAAAAAAGATAACTTTAAGAAAGACATGATTTTATGATTTAATACTACAGAGTTTCTTCATTATTGTGCTGTTAAATGTTTTTTTTTAAATCAAGAAATGAGATTTTAATTCATCACAATAAATTTTTGAAAACTCTTATTTGTAAATAAAGCAAAAAATATTTTTAACATAATGTAAAATAAACAAAATCTGGGAATCTGTGTTGGAGCCAGCTAAATCAGAAAAGAACCCATTAACGACACACATCTAATTCTAGATGCATGAGTTGTTTCTTTGACTTACGGTCACTTGGTTATCGTGTCTTACCCCGCCCTTTAATTCTTTAACCTGGCCCGGTGTCAGTTTATGGCCGTCATGCGTGTCTCCAAAAACCTTTCCTTTTTCGGAAGCAATCTTGTTAATACCCTCGGGCTAAAAGATATTAGAGATGAGAGAATTACTAACAACATCAAGTATCCTATTTGGAAAGATAAATTAAGATTTTTCATTTTACTTAAAAGAAAGATATGTCAATAAAATTAGACTGTATATATTGTTTATTGATATGCAAACATCATTGCATTTAAGCCATTGACTTTGTATTCTATTTTTTCAAACAAAATGGCCGTAAACCCTTAGCTTGCGTGGATCAAGTTAGAGATATGGAAAATGAAATGTGTTACGATGGGCACGAATTGGAGCAAACCTTATATATTCTTTTCCAAAAACTATTTATTCAAATATTTAAAAATGAGAAGGAAAAAAGACACTGCTATGGCCTTCAGATTAACAATCTGATAACACGAGGTCGTTTTATCAAGTAAATTAGAGACATTTTAGTAAATTTTTTTTTTCAATCATATATGGACTCAATATACAATTATCCATTTAAACTCGAACCATAGAATTTTCTGTATTTGTTAAAATAGTTACATGTTTCACTGGTAAAAATTATAATTGGCAAACTAACAAGTTATATGTATATCAAAAGGCCTCAGTTTTACCCTCGTCAACTGTATTAACATTCAACCTGCATATAGTGTTTAAGTCATTTATCTCATTCTGTACACAAGAACACTTTATAAAAAGCGATATATCTTTTTTTTAACCGAAACAGGATACTGAAAAATAAGTTCATGTTAAAGTTATTTTCGTATTTTGGTTTAAAGGCATCATTTTGGTACTCTATGACAAAATAATACTAGTATATAAAAGAAAAAAACGTTTGCAAATACAACATATTGTTGGATCAAGTGGACGAAAGACGTTAATGTGGCAGTAAGTGTTTTTGTGGCTTACTTGTAGATCGTGTCTGTTTCCTTCATCCACAAACATACTCTCCACAAGATTCACGACGTCAGAATTCGGATCCACTTTACCCTGTAATAAAAAAATTATGTTAAGGTCAAGATCTAGTAAATGAAAGGTGCCTACAGATTTATCAAACCTGAGAAATAAATTCCTTTATTGATGCTTTAAAACTTTAGCTTGGTCAAATAAGGTGTTTCGGGGCATAATTTGAAGGTAAACAAGATGAAAAAAACTGTATTTTAAACTGTCATTTTCAATGAAAAATTAAGAAAACCAGTGATGAATATGAGAGTTTTTTTTCGTATTCGGCAAATGAAATGTATCTAGATTGCCTACAGTCTCTCAGAAAACGGTAATTAGTATGTCCATGGCTTCCTCTTTAAATCAATATTAATTTTAATATAGGTATCCGGTTTACTTTTTATATGATTTCAATTTAAATGACATGAAAATACCCTATTTTCTACATAATTCTGCTAAAGCCGTAAAGTACGTGAAAAGAAAAGTTGATATTGATTATGACGTCATAATCGATCTAGCACCAAAAAATTAGTCTCAAGTTATTTACTAGATCTTGACCTTAAGAACCATTTTATCTTTACTTTGCTTTGCAGGACTTAGAGACAGGTTCTTCTGGCAGGGATGTATCAATCGAGGTTCTGTCTTACAGTACGGATACAAAAAAGAAGAGTGATTGAACAATAGCCATAAGTGCCGTCAGGGACATAGGGCAAAATAAACAAGCAAGCTTACATTAACTTCGATAGAATGATCAGAAAATACAAATGTAGAAATGAAATCTGATATAAAGACTATGCAGGTAAACATGGAATATGTTTTAAATTGAAATATGTTGTTGAAATATTTTCGTTGTATATAAAATTCTTAAAACAAAAATGGTTTCACATGTACAAGACATCTCCAACAGCATTACCTTCAGGGCATCCTCTATGAGTTTTGCACCGTCTTCTGGTTGGGTTATCTTTTTGACCTCGTTGGTATTTGGACTCTGTTTCTTCTCATATTCACGGATAGTGCGGAGTAACGATTGATATAGTTCCGCTTCCTCTTGTATCACATTACTGTGTGCTGTCCTCTAAAACAAAAATGAAACTTCTCAATGATTTAAATGTATAGATACATGTACATACAATAAAGCTTCTGAAGATAGAATGAAATGCTTAAAGTTTTACTGAAGCGTTTCGTGTTTTTCTTCATTTTAGGTATTTGATATACCGACCACTGAGACATTTTATTGGATTATGTAGATACATACAATATATACACATTCCAATTGTTTTGGAATTTTATGCTTTTTACATTTTTATTTACTGTAAACTTTAAAGAACTTTTTAAAAAATCAACTGATTTACTACAATTGTTTACAATGAATTAACTTTCCAGATATTCTAAATTTCCATACTTCACATTTATAGTAACCTACAATTTTATTTGTTTTTGTTTGGTTTCTTATTCACGCATGCCTTTCTAGACCTATTGTTGTATATAGATTCACCTATATGTTTTTCTATAGTCTCTATACGCTATTGTAAAATGGTAAAGAGATTCAAATAAATGATTGATTGATATTTATGTATATGATGCTTATATTTACATTCTTACTGGAGTGAAATATATGGAAAAAACGAACAATTTAAGCTTAAAAGTCCATTTAACAATACAAACTTTTGAAGCAGAGCTAACCCAGACCTCTTAAACATAAGAAGTGGAATAAGGTACCATGGAGGAGTGAGCACCCCATACCGACCTGTCACACCGCCGTATGCTCCTAGTCATTACCGGAAAATAATAGGGATTACTCGTCGATATTATGGTCTAACAATGAGCATGTAAAACGTCAGTCAGACATTTAATTAGTATTCATTTCTTAAGAATAAAATGTTTAAAAAGAAAAATCAGGCTCAAAAATTATTTATCAAGCATAATGTATTTTTATGAGTTATATGAAAAAAAATTCAACTACATATTTCTACCATAGTTTAAGTTTTAGCATATCAAGCCCTTAAATGTGCCTAGTCATAAATATTCCAAATGTATGCAATTCTGAACTTAATGGTGGCGTTCAGATTTTAGAACGCAGTTTGCAGTTCGCTATTCGCAATTCAAAAGTGAACTGCGTTCTAGAACGCAGTTCGCAATTCACAAATTTAAACATACGCTGTGTAGTCTGAAATTTTGGGGGTGGGGTACTAGGGGCCAGATACCACTTCTATGAAAAAATGGTGATGGTACCATCTCTAGACATATGGTCCGAGCTAGTTTTTAGCCCTACTATATAATACTATACGAATAAACATCGGGCTCGGGGACATCGAAGTCCCCTACCCTGGGGTCTGAAATTTTGGGGGTGGGGTACTAGGGGCCAGATACCACTTCTATGAAAAAAACGGTGATGGTACCATCTTTAGTTTCCGAGATATGGTCTTCTAGTTTTTAGCCCTACTATATAATACTATACGAATAAACATCGGGCTTATCGAAGTCCCCTACCCTGGGGTCTGAAATTTTGGGGGTGGGGTACTAGGGGCCAGATACCACTCCTATGAAGAAATGGTGATGGTACCATCTCTAGTTTCCGAGATATGGTCTTCTAGTTTTTAGCCCTACTATATAATACTATACGAATAAACATCGGGCTCGATATTTTGAATAAATGTTCTTCATACCTATAAATAGCAGGAAAACCCATTCCTGTCATTCTTCTCTTAGGAAAAACCCCGGGGTTTATCCTAAGAAAAGAATGACAAGAAAGGGTTTGCCTGCTATTTATAGGATTGAAGAACACATCAAAATATCGAGCCCGATGTTTATTCGCATAGTATTATATAGTAGGGCTAAAAACTCGAGGACCATATCTCGGAAACTAGAGATGGTACCATCACCATTTTTTCATATAAGTGGTATCTGGCCCCTAGTACCCCACCCCCAAAATTTCAGACCCCAGGGTAGGGGACTTCGATGTCCCCGAGCCCGATGTTTATTCGCATAGTATTATATAGTAGGGCTAAAAACTCGAGGACCATATCTCGGAAACTAGAGATGGTACCATCACCATTTTTTCATAGAAGTGGTATCTGGCCCCTAGTACCCCACCCCCAAAATTTCAGACCCCAGGGTAGGGGACTTTGATGTCCCCCAGCCCGATGTTTATTCGCATAGTATTATATAGTAGGGCTAAAAACTCCATATCTCGGAAACTAGAGATGGTACCATCAATTTTTTCAATGTTTAAACCCCCAAAATTTCAGAAGGGTAGGGGACTTCTATTTCACCCAGCCCGATGTTTATTCGTATAGTATTATATAGTAGGGTTAAGAACTGGAGGGCCATATCTCAGAAACTAGAGATTGTACCATCACCATTTTTTCACAGAAGTGGTAACTGACCACTAGTACCCCGTCCACAAAATTTGAAACCTCGGGGTAGGGGACTTCGATGTCCCCCAGCCCGATGTTTATTCGTATAGTATTATATAGTAGGGCTAAAAACTGGAGGGCCATATCTCGGAATCTAGAGATGATAACAACACCATTTTTTCACAGAAGTGGTAACTGACGCCTAGTACCCCACCCACAAAATTTCAGACCACACAGCGTATGTTTAAATTTTGAATTGCGAACTGCGTTCTAAAACGCAGTTCACTTTTGAATTGCGAATAGCGAACTGCGAACTGCGTTCTAAAATCTGAACGCCCTTAATGGTAACCTCTTTGCTACTTAAAATGAGTGAAATTTACATATATTGCATTGATGTCGGTTAATGTGAATTCACTTTGATGTGAATATAGAATTTTTATAGCTATGAAATTGTAAATTTATTGTAAAAAATGCAACTTTTTAAAATTTCTGAAGGGGAAATATATAATTCAAATTTTAATAAAAATCAACAGAATGTGTTAATATGGAAGAAAGATAAGAAAGAGATACTCATAGTTATTACGTAGATTACTAAAATTGTACGCAAAAAAGAAGTCACCATCCTAATGTAATGGTATCATTTCAATTGAAATCGACGGCTTCATAAAAATAACAAGGTCAGATCAAGGTAATCCTGTTTTTTCGACTATTAGGGAAAACATTATTGTTAAAAATATCATTTTTACATCTTTGGATGTTAAAATCAGGTAGTCTAATACCCAGGCTTTGAAAATCAGTCGAGTAACTAAAAATGCTCACCAATATGTATCCGAAATCTAAAAGTAATGTACATGTATATTCCTCATGGTAGTTCGTCAAAGTTCATCAATATATAACTAAAAAAGGTTAAATGTTTCTTGGGGCAAAAGGACGTTTTATGATTCTTCCAATCAAAAATTGATCAACAAATAATATCATGTTTTAGATTAATTTTTTCCTATCATATTGTGTAAAAAGTTTGTGCTATCATTGCAAGACATCAAAATCGCATTTAATGTCATATCTTGCTAATACACAGTGGTATTTTATAATAGATTAGAGCAAATCTTCTCAAAATTCTCAAAAAATGTTATCATTTTTGTACTTTTATAGGGAATAGACATTAACTTTTTAAAATACCATTTCTAATATAAAAACTGAAATCATTTCGAAATAAATGAAATAAAAATTGTCCTCGTGAAAAGATTTTAAATCTTATACTATCTTTTCACACTTTTGAAAAATAAACAATAATAATAAAAAATGAAGTCTGAATTTTTCACCTTTATAAACAATTCCAATGAATTTGCTATCTTTACATTCCATTAAAAATCAAGATTTCGACATCATATTGTTTCTAATGGAACACGGAAACATTCATTTCTTTTGAAGGGAAATAAAAAAACTACGAGTACTTTAACTTATGCAAAATACCCCCGGTATATCAACATACAAAAACACTTTATACATGTAGTTCATACAGTAAACTTATGCTAACGTTCCTGTTTGGAAAAATTTTGTAGTTTTTTGACAACTAGTCATTCAGCAATTTATTGGTATTTCTATGGGGTACAAATTGTGCTTCTTCATCGAATATTTTTTAAAAGCAAGATTTTAAAGACATACAAGAGAAAATAAAATTTCGGACTTCAAATTGACATTTTGAAATATTGACGACTCTCATCAATAGGGCCAACTTTAAAAAATTGTTTGGTTGCCTACTTCCGACCGACTGACTGAAAATGGCAAGACTCCAAACTTTTTTTTTTACATTCCAGGACACGAATTTTTTTCTGTTTATTCCTTCTATCCTGTCATGAAATATGATGAAATTTTATAGAAAAAAAATTTTCCAACTTACCTACTGACCCAAGAATTTTACCCACGGTCGGGAAAGGGCAAACAGACATTCTTTTAAAGATGGCCTAAACGATATCTTTTTTTTTCTTTCACAGTAAACTTATTTCAGTATTTCACATGTTCCACGGTTAGGTCTTTTACTGAAGATGAATTTTATCATCAAAGTGTCACATAAACCAAATGACAAACTAGATGACGCATGATTCCTGAAAGTTTTATTGAAAACCACCAAATAGTTTTCGCGAAATCGCCTGCACAAAATTTTGGGGGAAAAAATAATAATAACTAGAAAAGAAACTCGTTGCGAGCAACGAGAGGTCTTCCGTCCGATTCTTAAAAAAACCCGCAAAATCGAGCTGAAAAAATGATAAAACTTTTTATGGAAACAAAGGGTATTGAACCCGGGTTGCGAGCATGAAAATCCAAAGCGCTTACTATTACGCTATTGGGACCACAGCTCTAAATCTACTTGTATATACTTCTGAAACAGTACATCTGTCTTAGAATAATGAAAGGCGGGTTACTATTCAAAATTTAGCACCAAACGCCACGAGTGAACCTTCGCGCCTTTTCTTTGGAATGTCCCATTACATAGGTGTGATAGCTTCAATGGAAATAAAAAAGAACGTTCTTATAGCTAAAATTTCAAGGTAAAGAAATTGTTTGAAACACATTTACAAATTCTATGACGTAAATAGATAAGTAACACTAATCAATGAAACTGCTATAATTTTTTACTTTTTTAAATTTCCTGTTTATCCCCATACTGAACTATTTCGATTAGTTAAACTTCATGAAAAGGTTGAAATGTTTCGCTGTAAAACATGTTTCGCCCTAAGACGGTAAAGGAATCAGATACCATTTATGTTCAATAACTTAGATCATATCTTTGAGACAAGAATATTAATATAAACTCAATTCTTCAAAAAAAATCTTTTTCTTATGTTTGTCTTTCCTATTAGTTTAATATGACTCAAGTGTGCATGAGCAAAACAGTGGATACGTTTAATACTTACTATATATACATCGATATTGTTTCTTAAAACTATTATTTGTAACTATGATTTAAGATCTGTTTTTCCGCAAAACAAATGATAGTAGGTATGTATTTCATTTGCACATTTAGTCTTTCCTTTTTCTACTTTGAGAACCAGCCGAAACCAATTATAGAAGACGTTTGAGACGACCATGGATTTAAACTTAGTTTCACACAGAATTGCAACGTAACAACATCGTGACAATCCCCGTATTCTTTTACATTACATTTATCCTTATTTACTTTAGTTCAAGCAAACGCTTGGCTGCCTCTGAAAACCCCTATTGCGAAATGTCGGAGTTGACATAGACAGCCGCTATATTGGACCCGCTTCAGATTTTTGAATGTTAATATCTAGAGTTTGGATTTATCAATGTTCAAACAAATTATATAGTAAGCATTATAAAAACGGTTTCTATTAACATTCCAAAAATAAATGAAAAATATTGAAAAATCAAAAAGTTAGAAAATACGGACTATTTAAATTCGCTTCCGCTAGCGACCGGAAGTACTGACGACACACGAAAAAGTGATTTCAATTATATCTAAAAGTCATCATCTATCATCTCTAACAAGTCTCCAGTTAATATCTTAGACCATTTTCGTAAAAAAAAGGGGGGACAAAAATCCATTTTAAAATCAGAAAACTGTCAATAACTTGGAACCAAAGGTGAGTATTCCAAATTTTCCTTCTGATGAACAAAGTTCATATAATGACGCATGATTCCTGAAAGTTTCATTTAAAACCACCGAATAGTTTTCGAGAAATCGCCTGCACAAAATTTTGGGGAAAAAAATAAGAATAATAACTAGAGCAAAGCTCGTTGCAAAGCAACGAGTAGGTCTTCCGTCCTGTTTGACCGGAAGTAGCTTTCATTTTTAAAAAAAATGAGAAATAACGCCCAAAAATGGTTTGAATCCTCTAAAGCTTTGTTTATTAATGCAAAAATAAGCCATTTTTTGCTACTTCCGGTTTGACCGGAAGTGACGACGACGGACGGAAAATTAATTTTTATGCTCCAAGAGACATATGTTACCCAAAATCTTGTCAAGAACGGCAAAAACACGCGTTTTCAGACTACTTCCGGTTTGCCGGAAGTGACGACGCCGGACTTATTTTGACGACTTCAATAGATTAAGCTTGACATTTTGAACAACTTTGCTTCTTTGACGTTTTACAAATCCTCAATATGTTTTGAGATATAAAGAAAAAAATTTCGCCCCCTCTAGGCCCTTAATTCTAGGGGCCAACCCTTTTTGCAAGATATCATTTGAAAGATCTTAAAATTCTACACTTCTCTTGTTCTATATATTTTTACAAAATATTTCCAGGTAAAAAGAAATCGTAGAAAAGGTGTTAAAAATTTTGAATTTCGCGATACGACTATTTTCGGTCCATAACGAGCTTCCATACACAGCAATTTCGGTGAATATAAAATACGTTCCGCACAACTACATTTACTGCTCTATTATCACTGAAAATCTCAAGTTTCTATCTTAAGCCGTTTTTGAGAAAACCCGCGGACAAACTAACCCTCTAAAATTCACTAAAATGCAAAAATCTCGGAACCGGAAGTGACGTCATCAAAATAAAAAAATATATGTCTAGATTTTTACATGTTCCATCAGACCTGAAAGTTTCATGAAAATCGAGCAAGCCGTTTCCGAGAACTCGCGTGCACAAAATCGGTAAGAAAAAAAAAAAGAAAAACTGTGGAAAAGAAACCTAAGAATAACAGAAAGGTCTTCCGTTGGAAACGGAAGACCTTAATAATAAGAAACAGTAGAATCACTAGAAGGTCTTCCGCTGAAGACGAAAGACCTCAATTAATAAAAAAAAAATATCACTATTAACTTACAAGGGAGGAATGCCTTTTAGGTATGTCATTTTAAAGGTAATTTTTGTTTAAATAAAGGAATTAATGTACAAAATGTAATGATATGTGTAATTTAACCGATTAGTGAGGATTGTCTGTAAGTAATGAATTACCAGACGATAATTTGGTAATTTATATATATTTAATGGGGAGAAAAGTTTGGTTTAAAACTTGAGATAATGACGGAATAGTTTACTACATGCAGTCTTCACATTTTTAATCAGATAAGACATTTACTGGCAATTTTTTATATTGTTAAATGTAAGTGTACAATAAATGCATTTTTTCAATACCCACTCAAAAGAAAACATTCCATTTTTTCAATATTTCTTTCAACTGAAATTTATTAATGAAAATTACAATGTGTAAAATGTAGAAATGAGCTCTTAAAAATTTCCCACAGAAACATTACAGTAACAAAACCTCTTATATTTCTAATTTTCTGTGAATTATATTTTTTACGTGTTAAGTTACACATTCCAATAAATATTTGGTACGTATCAAAGGAAAATATGTTATTTATCTTAATTCTAGTCTTCTTCTAAGAGAGGGAAAGTACGTGTAAATGAAAGTAAAATTTAAGAGAGAGAGAGAGAGAGAGAGAGAATAAATTGAACAAATCAAAAGAAAGTTTTGGACAAAAACATATGCTTCTATCGACAGTTATGTGTTATTTTACAATAGCCAGTAAAGCAGCCGCCCACTATGATTAAGAGAATTATCATGCTGCAAACAATTTTTTTTCTTTTAAACTTTCGTTAACAAATTAGAACTTATCTGGAAATGCTATCTATTTGCAAATTTAAATCACTGTGTGTGGTAAAAAATATATACAGATGTATAGTTCTAAAATATCTTACCTTGGATTTCACGGATTCATATCTTTGTCTCAGTTCATTGGGAGTTAGTCTCGATTCTTTTCTTCCAACGGCTGTAAATTAAAAAAAATTATATCAATATTTTCATTTTGATTGTTGTAAACAATAGAATCTTCAGATAATTTTTTTTAATTTTTAGATCATTACCTTTTCCTTGGACATTGGGTACCGTGAAGATCACAATGCTCTGGAGTATAATAAATGTCAAAAACATCCAATGTGTGTTTACCGGTATCATTTTGTTTACCGAAATGATTTTTGAAATTTTTAAAATTTCAATTTATACACTTTCTGTTCTTGTACTTCATTAAAAGTTTAAATAGACCGTTGAAGATATGTTGAACTCGATAAGGTTTTAACGGTCTTTTAATGCAACATATTACCTCCTGTTAACGTAATACGCAGAGGAGTACAATTGGAACCATTTAGGGCTATATTCCATTTTAATTTTGGTTCGTTCTACTCGGCGACAAACACTTTAACGTCAATAGATAAAAACGCAGAATAAAATACACCAAACAAAAACAAAACAACACTCTTAAAAATTTATGCATTTCTTTAAAGTAAGAAATCTATCTAAATGTGTTTTTAAAAAAAATAAAATACCACCTATAGATTCTTACTCAAACTTTTCTTTCTTAAAGTGCCCTGTTATTTGTAAATCTGCGAAAACTTCAATTTTCAAAATATCTTTTTTCAAGTTATTTAAAGGTAAATTCTATCTTACTGAAATCCGCACTAATGCCCAATCAGTCTGCAGACTAAAAATTGATTTTTTTTAAAAATATAAATAATTAAGAAATTTTTTATTAGAAGTACAATCTCGAAAACTTCTTTGTTTTTAATACTTCTGCTTAAAATCTCATGATTTCTGCCTTAAAATTTCATGAAAAAAAATTTATATCTTTAAAAAATAATTAAGCGTGTAGATAAAGAACAAATCAAGGGGAAAATTAAATTAGAATGTTAATTATTGTATTGTAAGGAAGGTAAGTAGGACGCATTTGTATTCCTTGTGACAAGACTTTCCCTTTGATACCAACAATTTAGACCCTTTGACCTTGACCTTGGAGTTTGACTTACATTTGAGAAACTTCAACCTTTGCCAAAAGCTGCCATAACAGTTGCTGTCACAACAAACAAACAAATTACTAAAAAAAAAAACACAGAATACATGTACATATTTTATATTCAACAGATATACATCTGGTCATATCTCTAGTTCTCCCTTGAATGAGACATGGTGATATAAATTTTAAAAAATAATTATAAGAGTTGAAAAGGTTGTGCATATTGAAATATACTAAGCTCTGCGGATGAATTAGATATACCAGTTTAGCTTTATTTTGCTACCCAAAGCACCTTGATTAACTATTTATAAGCATACTGTTTTCTGAAATGTACTGATTTCTGTTGTCCATCTGTTTATCTGCAAACTTTTCACATTATAATAATAATAATAATAATAATAATAATGCTTTATTTAGAGAAGGTAACCCGATTAGTACCAGGTACTATTCTTCCCCGGGGCCTTAACTTCTTAAGAACCACTGGGCTAATTTCAACCAATTTACATTTAAATATGCAGGGTACTTTTTAAGCGCCCGGATCGATAGATCCCGGGCGTATATTGTTTTTGTCCTGTCTGTTTGTCTGTTTGTCTGTTTATCTGTTTGTCTGTTTGTCAACTTTAACCTTGGCCATAACTTTTGAACAATAAGGGATAGAGACTTCATATTTGGTAAGCATACTCCACTAATAAAGTCCTTTCAAATGACTTCAAGGTCAATGACCTTGTGACCTTGACTAAGACTTATATGCTAAAAATAGCTTTTTCCACTGTTTGTCATAACTTTTGAACCATAGGAGATAGGGACTTCATATTTGGTATGCATACTCCACTAATAGAGTCCTTTCAAATGACATCAAGGTCAATGATCTTGTGACCTTGACTGTGACCTATATGCTAAAAATAGCTTTTTACACTTTTTGCCATAACTTTTGAACCATCAGAGATAAGGACTTCATATTTGGTATGCTTACTCCACCGATTAAGTTCTTTCAAATGACACCATGGTCAATGACTTTGTGACCTTGACTGTGACCTATATTCTAAAAATAGCTTTTTCCACTGTTTGTCATAACTTTTGAACCATAGGAGATAGGGACTTCATATTTGGTATGCATAAAGGTAGGGTACATTAAATCTCATTTGTTTGTCAATCTGCCCATCTGTCACAATAAATTTAACCTTGGTCATCATGGTCGTATATTTTGAATGAGAAGAGATAGGACTTTTATATTAAACATGTGTATTAGTATTAAATGGGACAATACCATTCTACATACACTATGACTTTCATTACCCATGATCTTGAAGTTTGACCTAATTTCCTTAAAAAAATTAATTGCTTTGAATTGATCATTTTGAAAGATAAATGAAAGGACATTCATTTACCTGTGATAAGACCTTCCAAAATGTATCATGACTTTTTGACTCTGTGACCTTGACCTTGAAGTTTAACTTAGTTTTCATTAATGTTGTATTTCCTTTTCATTGAGAAGAGATTTGACTTTCACATTTCAAGTGAACATTACCCATAACAAGAGGCTCCCAACATGCTATGATTTTTTACCCCTTGACCTTGATGTTTTAACAAAATTTCAAAAGAGTGAACTCTCCCAAAAGATGATAAAACAAAAAAGGAGTTTAGGGAAGACTGGGCTTTTTCCATAAAAAACGTCATTTTTCAACCCTCATTTGACCCCCGGGCAAAATCAAAATTCCGAAAGCTTACTGCACATCTACATGACCCCACCAACCATCTCCCAAAAGCTGGTTAGGCTACTGAGTAAAATGTAGAAGGAGTTCAGGGAAGACGGGGCTTTTTGGACAAAAACCGTCATTTTTCGACCCCCATTTGACCCCCCGGGGCAAAATCGAAATTCCAAAACCTTACTGCACATCTACATGACCCCACCAACCATCTCCCAAAAGCTGGTTAGGCTACTGAGTAAAATGTAAGAGGAGTTCAGGGAAGACGGAGCTTTTTGCTTAAAAAACGTCATTTTTTTACCCCCATTTGACCCCCTGGGACAAAATCAAAATTCCGAAAGCTTACTGCACATCTAAATGACCCCACCAACCATCTCCCAACAGCTGGTTAGGCTACTGAGTAAATTGTAGAAGGAGTTCAGGGAAGACGGGGCTTTTTGGACAAAAAACGTCATTTTTCGACCCCCATTTGACCCCCCGGGGCAAAATCGAAATTCCAAAACCTTACTGCACATCTACATGACCCCACCAACCATCTCCCAAAAGATGATTAGGCTACTGAGTAAAATGTAAGAGGAGTTCAGGGAAGACGGAGCTTTTTGCTTAAAAACGTCATTTTTCGACCCCCATTTGACCCCCTGGGGCAAAATCAAAATTCCGAAAGCTTACTGCACATCTACATGACCCCACCAACCATCTCTCAAAAGCTGGTTAGGCTACTGAGTAAAATGTAGAAGGAGTTCAGGGAAGACGGGGCTTTTTGGACAAAAAACGTCATTTTTCGACCCCCATTTGACCCCCCGGGGCAAAATCGAATTTCCAAAACCTTACTGCACATCTACATGACCCCACCAACCATCTCCCAAAAGCTGGTTAGGCTACTGAGTAAAATGTAAAAGGAGTTCAGGGAAGACGGAGCTTTTTGCTTAAAAAACGTCATTTTTCGACCCCCATTTGACCCCCTGGGGCAAAATCAAAATTCCGAAAGCTTACTGCACATCTACATGACCCCACCAACCATCTCCCAAAAGCTGGTTAGGCTACTGAGTAAAATGTAGAAGGAGTGCAGGGAAGACGGGGCTTTTTGGACAAAAACCGTCATTTTTCGACCCCCATTTGACCCCCCGGGGCAAAATCGAAATTCCAAAACCTTACTGCACATCTACATGACCCCACCAACCATCTACCAAAAGCTGGTTAGGCTACTGAGTAAAATGTAAGAGGAGTTCAGGGAAGACGGAGCTTTTTGCTTAAAAAACGTCATTTTTCGACCCCCATTTGACCCCCTGGGGCAAAATCAAAATTCCGAAAGCTTACTGCACATCTACATGACCCCACCAACCATCTCCCAAAAGCTGGTTAGGCTACTGAGTAAAATGTAGAAGGAGTTCAGGGAAGACGGGGCTTTTTGGACAAAAAACGTCATTTTTCGACCCCCATTTGACCCCCCGGGGGCAAAATCGAAATTCCAAAACCTTACTGCACATCTACATGACCCCACAAACCATCTCCCAAAAGATGATTAAGCTACTGTGTAAAATGTAGGAGGAGTTCAGGGAAGAAAAGTGTGACAGACGGACGGACGGACGGACGGACATGAGTAACAACAATATACCCGAACTTTCTTTAGAAAGTGCGGGTATAAACATAGGCTTGTTGACATCATTGATAACAATTGGGACAGGTAAATTTGCATATCTTGTCTTTGGTCAGCTGAAAATTTATT